ACGCTTCCTGTTTCTGCTGTAACCGGTGAAAAGTCATTTTCGACCTTAAGAAGGTTAAACAATTATATGGGTTCTACGACGACTGAGTCTTGATTGAACGGTTTAGCAATATTAAATGTTCATAAATATAGATGTAGTTATTGACGTTATTGTCAATGAGTTTGCTAGAAAAAAAAATGAAGTACGTAATTGTAGATGACTAATCAATGTAATTAGATTAATATCATTAATTTGTAGGTACAATTATGTATGTAAACTATAGGTACATTTGTATTGTTTATAATTTTAAAACTGTTTAATGATTAGATATTCGATTATGTATGTTTTATATGTTAATATAAAAAACGAATTTGTTAAAAAATAGCATTTATTATTTTGCTAAACTCAATCATAGGTTTTCATGAAGAGAGCATCAAATGTCAGGATAGCTCATATTTTTCTAGAAGGTAAGCAAAATACTTGCACATAACACAAGTGATTTACCTGAACATTTAAACTAACACTTTGTTTTTATCCCGAAGTCGTACATTAATGGTCATTATTAATTAAAACGCACCCATCATGAAAAAAATACTAAATCCATCTCTATCATCGGTCAGATATCTAACTAGAACAGGGGTCTTCAACCTTTTTTATGCAGTGGGCCACATATTATTTTTTTTTAAATCTTACGGGCCGCATTCGTTGTAAAAACATGTATTATATATAAAAATTCAGCTTTATTCTTACAATATTTAAAATTAGGTAGGTACATTTATTAAATTAGTAAATTTAATAATTTAAAAAAATTGCTATTAGACTATTTTTCTTGAAAAACGCGTTTTTCATCCGAGATTTTACGTTTTTTACTCACCGACATATTGTACAAATATTACGAAGAAAAAGTATGAAATTGAAATTTTTACACATAAAGGAGAATATTGTGCTCGTTCCACAATCGATTACGAACCAACAGACATTAATAATTATATATTGGTAGGTAATTCAATTTATATTATCACATATTTCTGATAGCGATAACTTAACTGTTATAATTTTATTGAACTAGAAAATGTAAATGCTAAATTTAAAATGTGATCGCGGGCCGCATATTATGACAGGGCGGGGGTTGAAGACCCCTGAACTAGAATATTGTAACAGTAACGTTTTACCTTCGCTTTTCTTTTCGTGTAAATAATTCGACGTGATGACGTGAAAAAGAAAACTCGTGAAAACCGTGGTCTAAAATACGGTTCGCAATCTGCGGATGTATTATTTTTATTTTTATTTTTCCAAACGTTTAAACATTCCATCGGACAAATAATGTGCATAATAACAACAATGAAGGCCTGCCCGACCAGTTTCGTTCGATGTTCTATTAACATCACACGGGTAGGCGTAACGCGCGTTCAACAACACCGTCCGCGTTGGATCCGAGCGGTCGTAATAATTCGTGCACAACGTTTAGCGGCGTGCCAGGGCTAAGCCCATGGAACACATAATAATAGCACCCTTGTTAATCATGAGTGAAACAGCATGCAATAAATAATTGACACCGTGCGGCAACGGAATACCGGCGTGGTCCTGCGACCGGTTAATCCCGTCGTTAATCGTAACAATTACTTGTGCAATCAGCTCAATATATTATTATCGTTATGCGTGCGCGATCATTTCCGACGGATCGGACCGGAACGCGTTGCTTTTCACGTGCGTTAAAACGTCGCGCGTTTACGGGACGGCGTCAGAGGAACAATAACGTGTCACTAACGGTTGGGCCGCGGTGCACGCGCAGCGATGGCCCGACGTTTCGGATAAAACAGAAATACTGTTTCTCGCGCTCTCCGCCACGTGCGCGATGCCGTGATTACGGAAGGTGTGTGACGCGTACGCAATGAGGCGGTTTGCGAGGAGAAAGTTAATTTTTTACTCGGTGTAAAAAAAAAAAAAATGAAATACAAACATTTATGGCGCTCGTCTGATGTTCCAAGACAATTGTGCACAATTGTTTTTATAGCCCACCGTTGTATCATGATATGATTCGTCTACATATGTATACAATTCGAATACCACTCGTTCGTTGATCGCTACATTTCAAAAAAAGACTAAACGTGTGAAGTTGAAATTTGACATTGTGGTCATCTTATTTTCTAGGCGTGGCCTCAAGATTGCTTTTTTAAGGGCTCAATGTATAAATCTGTTCACTTTTTGATTATCTAAGAAATATTTTGTTTTATGTAGTAATACAATAATTTTAATAATTACCGATTGATTGTATGTAAATTAATACAGCATAAATATTATTACATATATGGCGGTTCCACGCTTTATTTCAACCTAAAATTTTTAATTTTAAGAGTAATAACTGTCCAAACTAACAAAAAAAAAAAAAAAAAATAATAATAAAATATAATCCCGGGTAAGTCCGAATAATTCAACAAGTGTTTTATAAATGTATGTTAACGATAATTAATATATATTTTCTAAACGCCAAATAATATTATTATTATTATTTTTTTTTCGTATTATACTATTTACAAGCTAACTCGTGCCCACTTTTCTGAGCCTTAATTGTGATGAAATTATCTTATGTGGTTCTTAGTACTAAGTTTAGGATTTATTTTTTTATATTATATAGCTGATCCAGCTACACTTTGCTATTACTGTATTTTTCATAAGTATATTTTACTAGGTAAACTATTATATATCCTACATATCCTGTGCTGTTATTCGGGGATAATGTAGCATTCTAATGATGAAAACATTTTTGAAATCGGTCCAGTAGTTTTTGAGAATTTTGTGAGTAAACAAACAAACGTTGTCTCTTTTATATAATAGCAAGATAAGATTTATTATTTGATATGACTAATATTTTTACGGCAACTATGACCAACTAAGTTGATATTTCGCTAGTTAGTACATGATTTTTCTTAAAATTATTTTATATTTATGTTTAATTCAAATTTAAATGTTTGGTAATTAAATTTCATATTATATGATGCTTAATAGAACAATTTATATATTTACATGTTGTGGTTAGTTTTTATGATAAATATATTTCTCAATATTTGATCTAGTAAAAAAAAATGTATGCAATGTAGTTTTTTGAAAAATATTATATTTTTATTCTATAAATGTCAATTGGTTATTATATTTTCTAATCGGATGTTTTATAACTATATAAAAAAAAAAAAAAAAAACATTTTTAAATAGCCAAAAATATAATTTAAAATTATTATTTTATCAGGTTAAATGTATTCTTTGAAAAAATACTATACAAATCACCTGAAAGAATTTAAGTTCTAATATAGATGTCTGTACTATGTACGATTTGGCTGTAGTATTGAACTTAACGTTTTTTTTTAGATCAAATAGATGCTGACTGTAGAGCTTATAAATGTGCCACCAAGTCACTGGAGTACCATTCATTCAAGTTTAAAGAATTGTGTTTAAACTGAGACAATTGCATAATGCAGTTTTAATTTCATTGTCACTTTATTTGTTTATGTTATTAATAATTCCTTTCAGGAAAGAACAACAAGAATAAAAACTATAATTTAATGGTAATAGTTATAAAATATAATTTAGAGTTTTCCCGTAAATTTTCGAATTTAAGAAATATTTAAAGGTAGGTACGGTTAGCGGTCGCCTTGGGATGTATCAATTTATCTTAATTATGCTATAATCTTTAATTTAATGCTAAAATATGGTCTAAAATAAAAATACTTTGGTTTTAAAAAAAAAAAAAAATAAAAAAATATGTAGTTCAATATTATAATACATCAGTATTAGTAGAAATACATTTATTAATTTATTAATATTTATAAAATGTATAATAAAATATAATTAATAACTGTACAAAACTAACAGTGTTTATGAACTTAATCACATGTATTTAAATTATAATACATTAAATATCTTTAATACTAGTTATATTATAGTAAAAAAATATGTACCTACGTAAATAAAATAAATTTATATTTATATGATATTTTGAGATATATTATATACAAAGTTTTTTCGCAAAAAATATAACATTATTATTGTATACTTAGATAATTATAAATATTTATTGTAAGATATTTTTCTGCTGATATGGATATATTATTTTATTTAACTACATATTTTTAAGAAAAAATCCAAAGTATTTATATTTTTAATCATAGTTTAGCTTGAAATTAAAGATTACACCACAGTTTTTTTATAATTGACATACTAAGTATGCGATATGAAAATTAAATCTTGATTGATATCATTAATCTTTCAAAATTTGCACGTAAGGTTTTTTTTTACAGAATATATTATAAGCATCCACATCATTGATAGATTATTTTATTTCTGATGAACATTAAAATACAACAACTGATGTTGTATAAAAATACTAATAATAATAATAATAATTTTGTGAATACTTAAAAATATACATATTGGCCTCGAATGTTTATTTTTTTTTATTAAATCCAATCAGATTTTTTATAAATATTAAATTTTTACTGATTTCACTAAACAGAACGAATAACTATTCTAACAATAACATAGTATTATTGTGCAAGGTTCGATTTATTTACTTCTTATACAACCAATTTCTGATCGGAGTATGATGCTTTTCACATAGTTGTAAGTAGGGTTGCCATAAATTTATAAGGCGATACCGGGATAAAATAAACATATTATTGAAAAATATACTTTTTATTACTTTAATTTTTTTTAATATATTGAGAGGACCATTAATGGTAGGCAATATAATGTTTAAAAATATTTTTGTAAAATTATATATTTATATGTGCAAATTTCATATTATGTTTTTATAATACATTGTTAATCGATTACGATTAAAAATGTATTTTGAGATAAGATCGTAGAAATTAAAAATTAATCAATCCAACATTTTCTCTAAAAACGTCTAAGTCGGGACATATAGACATCCTGAAAACATTTTTCGGGACACCAAGACATGAAGTCCAAAACCGGTGACATCCGGTTTTCCGAGGTGTATGACAACCTTAGTTATAAGTATTTAGCAGTTAAGTTTTTATATTTAATATCTTTAATCTATACGATATTAATTTTAATAAAATGTGCGTTAATGGATAACACAATTATTTGTGTTCCATTTAAGTGTAATATATTAATTCATAGGTTAATTAAATTATTTTCCTTTCTCTATCGACAAAATCCTATTACGTTCATTTGGGATACTGTATTGGTTTAAATTTTAACCAAACACCATTTGCCGGTAAATTGGCTACCGCGTTCATACTGAATGTTATCGGAATTTCGGTTTTATCACAAGGTTCCACTTCGTATTTGATCAAGATTTCGGTTAGGGCCAATTTCATTTCCATTTCAGAAAACCGTTTCCCTAAAGCAATGCATAATATTTACAAATGATAAATCATCATCGATGTCAATTTGCATATTTCGCATTGCACAATAGTCTTAAATACCTATGCATATGCGAGGTCCGTCTCCGAATGGTAGATATGTACCACTTGGTCTTTTGGCCTTTTCTTCCGGGGTGAACCGTTCAGGATCGAACGCCTGGGGATCCGGGTAAAATTCAGGATCGTGATGAAGTGCGTGGACCGGAATCAGAACTTTCGTACCTTTTTCAATTACCAGCGTGTCATCGGGTACCTGGTAGTCTTTTGTAGCTTCTCTAAACAGTGTAGACACTGGTGGATACTTCCGCATGGTTTCTGTAACATGTCGTTTTCATTATTATTTGTAGCGAACGAATAATAATCATTCATATCATTAAAATATTATTTTATATTTAGGGACGGCAAACATTTTCTCCGTTGCGTTTTTGTTCATCACGTGATTTACAAACGTTACTTATTGTATTAGTATATACTTGTCAATATTGTCAATAAGAATATACTATTTAAGTTATTTATTGTATTATGTATAAGTTATCGGCATTATGGATAATCCGGTATTTTGCAAAATACCTAGGCATTACATAAAATGCCAAAAATCACTTGGCAATATTAATAATATGAAGTTTGTCTAGGTAATATGTATAATGCTAAATGTGGAGTAAGCAATATGATGAAAATAAACGAAATTGGGCATTGACTATTACCTACGACTTTACTTACCGTTTATCATATTTGTGCGAGCAAGATTTAACACAATAAATATTAAGATTCTTTTACTAATTTAATAATAAATCTGAGGTACAATATTGAACGTACTAAAAATTTTATTACAATATCATAATTTTTCTCGTCATTTTCGTGTCTCGTTTTGATGTTGCAACTATGCATACGATTTATATGAAGTCAAATTTACAAAACAAACGTTTACGTTTAAAATTTTTTTTAAAAATTTGGCCATTAATACTAGTTTTTTATATAATGAACAGTATAATGAGCTGATAAAAATTCAATCCACAAGAATTGGCTAAGGATTTTTAAAATGTGTTTGTAAGTCCAAGTGTCAAAACAAAAAGTGTATTTGCCTTAAAAATAAAATGTTGTGTACTTCAAAATGTAACTTTTCTACAACATATTATAAAAGTTATAATAAGTAAATAGTAGTTTAAGTAAAATATTTATATAATAGTAATAATATAATAATAGATAAAAATTCAATTTTGTTTTTAATATTACTAATAATTTATAATAATTATAAGAATCTTAATGTAATATAACATGTAATAAAATGTTTTGTACTTTGCCTAAAAAAATTGACATTTTGCATAATGCCTAGGTATTTTATAAAATACCTGAATTATCTATATTGCCGGTAACATATATATTGGTAAACCATATATAGTTTTCGCTCTTTTTTCGTACATATATGGTTTATTAATGTGTGTTTATTATTCAACAGTAATGAAAAATGTATACTAACCAGCCAACACCATTTCTAAATACTGTAAATCAATTAGAAATTCATTGTTCATTTCCCCGTTGTATTTGAATTTCACCGTATTAATTTCTTCTCGCACCCGATCTTGGATTTGTTTGTGCAATGCTAGTTCGTATAGACATAAGCTCGCCGCTGTAGACACCGTCTCAAATCCAACAGCGAATAGCAAAAATGCATTCGCCAAGATATCTGTTTCTTCAAATTTAACTAAATATGTAACAATGATGATTATTATATAACAAATATGTTTTCGGTTATCTTAAATGTGGAATGTTAAAATTGTTTAATCTTCATGCTAAAAAAAAAAGAATACTTCAGAAATATCTGTAATATGAACTACATTTTAATGTACATGACTTTTCAATGAACTAACATATATTATTTTAATCAAATAATATAAATGAATATCAATTAACTACAATTGAATGCAAAGTAAGAAATCAACAAACAATTATAGATTAAAAAATAATAAAAAGAAAAAAAGTATAACGTACAAAAATTAATGAAATCAATTCTTAAACCGCATGTATAAATTGAATCGTCAGTGTAATTTTATTTTTGATAGTTTCATCGAAACACTTTCGTTTTCATATACAATTTGAGTTAGTCTATTAAACGAACAGGTGATGATACCAATGAGGATCTATTAATTTTATTAATACGTATACGTTTTATACGTGACATCAAAGTTAGGTGTCAAGGTCAATAATTATTTAAAAATCCTATAAAGAAAAACGCAGACATTGAAAGCCTATTCAACAGACCAAACATTCAAAGTCTTCCACTATCCAAAAGATTAGAATAAGCTGGGCATGTATGATGGGCGAAGCAGTATTTGACCAATAAAGTTTTAATCAATAATCCATATGGGAAGAGACTAGGAAGACCGCGTCAGCGACGGGACCATGTAAAGAACAATTTGAAAAGATCTGATTAAACAGTAGTAATAGAAGATGCCGATGACAGAGATGGTTGAAGGGTCTTAGTAGAAGACGTGAACGCCTTCAGAGCGCGTAAAGCAAAAAAATAAAAAATAAATAGTTAATTTAAAATTACTGATAAATTAGATAAAAATTCAGAAAATGGTAAGTAGCAAAAATCAAATCTACCCCATTTGATTGATATAACCAAATTTTGTAAAAAACGAACGTGCCATAATGATGTATAATTAATATCAGATGATATTTATAGCAGTCCAAATAGGTTGAAGATAAACCAGATAATACAATATTTCGAAAATAATTATTATGTATTTTCGTTTTTTTTTAGAAAATAGTTATAGTTCTTCCGTATAAAAACGATAAGGGTTACATATTTCGATTATTATATTAAAATCTAGTGATCGAAACGTTCACAGCTTGGTTTTTAAAGCATTTAACTGGTTATGCGCTCAACACATAGAAACATACGACAAGCGTACGTTTTTACTAATATCTCAATGCCATAACACATGTGACTTGTGACGTTTCAGCAAATATCGGTTCGTAATAACTATTTTACAGAGCCACTGCATGGCATACAATAACAGTAACGCATGCGATATATAAATCGTTATGAATTTACGACTCACCCGATGGTACCGTTTTGTTGACGACCAGATCGTCGCGGGCCTTGATCAGCGATTGCATCAAATCGTCCCGGACCACGTTGTTGCGCTCGCGGTATCGTACGGTGTCGGTGAACGTGTTGTCGAAGAACTCGATCGTGTCGAGCGGAATTTCGTAAACGTGCAGCGCCCTTCGGAGTGCGGGCGACACCATCCAGGCGATCTGGGAGAGCAGCACGCGCAGGGACGGTTTGAACACGGTCTTGCCGTACCGCCGGAACGGGGACTGGTCGTCGTTGATGGTATTCAACTGCAGGCCGAACGCACACGTGCCGATCACGTCAGTCGCGTACCTGCCCAACACGTCACGCACCTCGAACACGTGGCCACCCGTGGCCACCACGCCGGCCACGTTGCGCATCAGCTCCTCGCCGCACTCCTTCATCTGGCCGTGCATATGCTTCAGCTTACTGGACGCAAACCCCGGGCTCAACTTGGCGCGCATCGTCTTCCATTGGTCGCCATTCATAATGAACAGCCCGTTGGCAAGCCGGTTCTCGGTGGGCAAGGGCTTATACAAGCCGTGGTCCGTGAAGTGCGTGAAGTCCTTGATCAGCATGCGGTTGATGAGCACCGGGTCACGGACGATCAGGAACGGCATGCGCATCTGGTAAATGCCGCCGTACCGGTGGCCGCTAAACGCGTTGTACGCGTTTTGGATCATGTCGGTCGATCTTTCCATGCCCAGCAGCTGCCACGTGAGGTTGCCGAACAGCGGCACCGTGGGTCGCAGCCACGGCACTTTCCTGTCACGCCAGTAGCCGTACGTTGACGTACAGAACAGGTACGCGATGGCGGCCGCGGCCATCAGCGCAGCGGCCAACAGCCACCAGCCATCGCAGTCCGTCCACGTGGCCATGGTCTCGGTCGTTCTGTTGCGCCCGACGTCGATGCGGTGGTGGACGCCTGAGTGCGCGGCCCACGCGAACGAATGCCTCGGGCGCGGAACGAAAAATGAACGGCCGGTCGAGCGAACGGCTGCCGTGCGGACGTCTAACCTAAGGAGAAACTCGAGGAAATCGATGAAATGTACACTGAACGGAACATGGAAGGCTGCTGCAACAACCTTGTACGGGGACGCTTGACTAACAATGAAACTAGATTTAGAGTGTATTTTTTCGAGTTTCCTTCGAAAGTTATTCGATTATATTAGAGAACAAATCGGAACACATCCTCGCAATATTCCATTCCGGATGTTATCGTTGAATTTCAATAATAATAATATTCACTGTGATAAATACCTATGAACGAGTCGACCGTGTCACACCAACATTGGTTTCTGGCACCTCGAATACTACGCGATCTTGCTACGTAATTTTGAACGCGTGTTTGTAGGAAACCGAGGTTTTAAACGTTCGGTTCAAGTGCACACGAAACGTGTCAGGCAGCGGACGCGCGCGTGCAACAACGGTGGCGTTGTTCGACTTCGAATTTTTGTCGAGCCATCGGTGCTCGTAAACAATTACAAACGTCATGACATATGTGTAAATAGTTCTAATTGATATTAATGGTTAGTGTTCGTCTATGCGGCCTCGATCGTCTATTAACCTCTCTACAGGGTGATGCGTGTTGTTATGTGTATATTTTTAATTTTTTATTTTTTTCAACCCACATCGGCTGATTATTATTTTATAATATCTTTTCTTTTTTTTTTTTTTTATCGCGCTCTAACAAAACTACCTCTCTTATTATCGGTCGAAATGTGCACGGTTTTTTTGTCCTCATATTCCGATCGGCTGATGCGGTAAACAAATAAATTATTAGACAATTAACTCTTCGACATCCCACCGTAACCAATATGAATCTGAAAAAACTGCCCGCCGGAGTCGTGTGTTGAACACGAACTAACGAATTGGTTTAAATTGTTTGTAAAGAACAGAAGAACATTACATTATATATGTACACTAAAACTTTAATACACCATTTACCGAAATTCCGGAAATAATAACTGCTATGTAGTGGTGTCCGTCCTATAGAGGTGACCGGTAACAAAAGTACAAACCTTGTAGGCGACCACTATATAGAGTACATTCAAATTTTAAAAATAAAATACCAAATAAATATCGTTAGTTGTTTTGTTTAAATGATAGTCTCAGAATAGTGTCATAGAGCTCACCGTTAACGAAAGTTTTACTGTATAATATTTTTTTTTTAAATATACTGTCTGTTTAAAAAAAAAGTGATTCGCTCTGTATTCCACCGATAATTATAGTTAATGTTTTTTCGTTATCAACATCATAATAACATGTGACACAACCTGTCGATGATCATTAGTAATGATTCATATCACAGATTATATGAATAATTAAATTTAATTCATATTATCTGTGCTATATATCTGTTATATAGGTACTTATGAAAACGGTTTTGCTTTTCCAAAGTTAAAACTAGTCAAGTTGTCAAGTGTTGTAATATGAAAAATTACAGGTAGAATAGCTGTGCAAGGTCGAAGAATTGTACACACATCATTGACAGATATTTTTCACTTCAAATACGTTAATTAAACATTGCTTCAATATATAGTTATTATGTTTCAATTATTGCAATTTAAATACAATTTATGTAGCCAGTATCATATATCGTATTGTATATAAATAATTTGATAATATTGTTTAGGTATATAAAAAACTTATCTAATCATATAGAAGACAAATTAAAGATATTAACATGTTAAATGAAAAGTTTCAACAGGTCAGTGGAACATGAAATTTTATATCTCTAGCTGTATAACTTATTGAAACATATAATATTCGCCGCGGACCACTGAACGGCTAATGATATTATGCGTTATGCAAATTATCATTTCCGAAATCGTGAAAATCACATGTGCGCCATAGGGCAGTGCTGGATCTAGGAAACTTGACGCCCGGAGCTAATAAAAATGCAGCATTCATACGTAGAAGTAAACACGGGGTGTGTTCATGACTTTTTTTTACTTTTCATAAACTTATAAGGTTCCTGATACCATCAGCGCCTGGGGCGAACCTATCCACTTGTCCCCATCCCCCTAGAGATCCGACACTGGCAACAGCAATACCGAAACACGTTAGTTTTCAGTATAAGCCGTAAAGCGTCGTAAATAGAGCGGTACACGTGCAAAGTAAACTAGGGCCTAATCCGTTAACAGTCGTCCTTTTCAGTGGTAAACATATGTAAATAGTAGACATAATTATACGGCCCACGGTCGTCGCTGATTATCGTGAAAAGGTCGGCCGTTGCAAACCGATGCATTTTGTACCAAATGGTGTGCATTATGTGGCAGCGGTGCCATCGTCGTTACGTCGTCCGGGCATTGACGTGCGGAAGAATCATGGCCGTCGCGTGCACGCAGATTGTGCACTGCTTGCTCATTGATCGCGTCGGCTAATTTATTTAGCCAGTTATATGTATAACACCCGGTGACCGTGGTACGGCTCTCGCGGGGATTCGGAATTTCTCACTGATCAAGTAATTTGTACCCGGTTTTACTTTCTCTCTCACTCTCTCTCTCTCTCTCATTCTCTCACCCCGTCGCACACACACGCGATGCTCTCTTCATTCATGTCGATGTAAACATTCGTTTGCGCGTGTACGCGTTCTCGATCACCACCACCACCACCACCCCTACTCACTTTATCCATCGTTATATCCGTTTCCTCCCGCGCTTTTATCCCCCGGTCCCGCGTTGTTTGTTCAGACCGATTCGCCATTGCTGCACCCCTTCCCACCGTGTCCGCTGTTCTGTGTCGAATATCCGTATAAACATACCTGGAAATGTTTATATTCGCACACGATTTTTATTTTTTATTTTTTTCACGTTTTGTTTGTCGACCAATTGATATGCGTATATCTCCATAAAACGTCTATTGTTTAAACATTTTTTTTCCCCTCATCACGTTTCGCCGTAATAAATCTCATTTATCTGGAGCCGGATTGAAAACGAAAAAGAAATCAAATTAAAAATCGTGCGCTACCTGCGCGTACGTCGGTGCACGTACCGATGAAGAATGACTCGATTATTCTAAAGCGAACATCGCGTTACATTGCGTACAGCAATTACGTAAACCATATTATACACACACTTGGCACACGTAGTATCGTACTTATACGTAGCATCACTATTCCGTTTGAATCAGACTTGTTTTTATAGTATACATCGTTCGAGCTATACTACGGTATATAAACTGTATATTAATATCTTAAGGACATGGTAATAATGAACGTCCTTAATGATTTTTGTGTATTTAAAGCACTTAAAAAATCGCATAGAAACCATATCCAACCATGTCAATCGATGACAAAATGACATATAGCTGATGATATTCAGGCTTCAAAAAAGGGTAATTTTCTGATGACACAAAATTATCAAAAATCATTATTAAACAGTAGTAATTCTTCGTACTTGTTTTGAAATTTTATTTCACAATATCTAAAAAATAAAAAGTAAGGGCGCGACCGATGAAAACATTTTAATAAATCGGCTTTTACAGGTTCTCGTACGAGGAAATTTCCGCAAGACGTTTATGTTGTACCTTAGGTGGTGAATAATGTAACTTAGATATGGGTGAGGTGAGAAATCGACGGAGAAATTCGTGTCGGCGCTGTATATTTTTAATGTCGGGATCTAGGAACAAATGCACCATCTATGCCACTAGTGTAAATAACTTCTCGTAAGTCTATAAACATATAAACGTAAGCAATAAGTAAAGGAATGTCGTTTATTTATTTTTCAAGAGGTATCTTCGCAGAATGAAACGTATAAGATCTTACGACCGCTAACACATAATATATAATATATATATTATGGCGGTGATGTACACACACACACACATATATATATATATATGTTTTTGGTTTCGTTCACCGTCCAACAGATTCGATTCAATCAAACACCCCCTCTCACGTAGGTACCGCACGCGGTATATTATATATTATTTTGCCGACGGTTGTATTTTTTTCCTTTTTCATTTTCTCCTTTACGCCGACCGTTCGAGCAACCGATTTTGGCGGTGGCTGCGACTACACGCAGTGCATGTACGCGAAGAAGAACTATTATGAAATATTAATTCCGTTACCGGCGTACAAAGTAACTGGCGGCGCGATAAATATACGTGTGCGCGCGTATAATTTCGTTGGCCACGTCGGATTGAATTTTTTAACGGCCCGCCGCCCAATACAAAAGCCGAGGCTGTAGACGTATACACACACACACACACACACACACACACACACACACACACACCATGTATATTTACGAAAAAAGACGATGAGAAAAAAAAACGAACGCGCACAAAGAAATGTAAAAATAAAATAAAATAAACGCGATGCCAAGACGGTGGGGGGGGATGCAACGGCAAAGAATTAGTTCGAATGGATCGTGTACAGAGCGTGTTGCGAGTATACAAGGGCGACGGTGGCGTAGAAAAGTTATCGGTCTTATGGGAGAGTCACGACGGGGTGGAGGCACGAGAGGAAGTGAGTCGTGACATTCGAATGTATAGGTATACGCTCTATGCTGGTGTATAGTTGAGTGTGTATATGTATGGGTAGTAGCTGCGCGTGTATATGCTGTGCTCGGCGGTGGTATTATTAATAAATATTAAAACAGCCAGAGGCGAAAACGCGTGCGTTATTAACTTTGAGTTTGGCGTATAATTAAGCATGCTGTTCTTTCTCTCTCACTCTCTCGCCATCTCTCGCTCAACCCTCTTGTATCCTTCTATTAGTTTAATTTTTCTCTTTAACTACCATTATATCTCTCTTTCTCTCTCTCACACACACACACTCTCTCTCTTTCTATTTCTCTCTCTCTCTCACTCTCTCACTCTCTTTCTCTGTCTCTTTTATATTGTTCACTTTGTCATATCGTGTACCAGTCGATAGCCGTACAGGTGTACATATTATGTAGTCACGTGGAACCAAATAAAAGTAAATAACTATTAAAGCAACCGCCACCGCGTCCTCTTGAATAATTCATTCCAATTTGAATTGCCAAACGACCGGTTGTCGTTTTCGTCCTCGTGTGTTGGCGGAGTGCACGTGTCCGCCCTTAATATTATCTATATATATATATACGATTTAGTGCGTTCGTAGGCAAGAAAGCACGAGATCTTCACGCGTTTTCATCATTACCGTCATCACTTATATTAATATTTACATAATATTAATGTTATTAATGTAGTAACATTTTGAAGACGGTCGCACTTTATTTTTGGGGCTGATTTGCACGCGCGTACTTATATAACCAGTGTAACCAAGTCACTAATAAAACCGTTTCTACATGGACATTTTTAGAAGTGATCGTTTACCGCACTTTTATTAACAGTCTTTATCTTTAACTCGACACATAAAATATAAAATTTGTCTCGTTTTTTCCACCGTAGAAGCAACACCATGGGCGGCTGAACGACACCGTTCTTAGATGTGTCTCAGGGACAATGCCCTGGAAATTCAGG